TCTTCAAGGTTCACAGCTGGAGAATTGCAGAGATTAGTCGAGTCTTGGGGTCAAAAAGCCTAAAAAAATATCACAGCCCTTACATCACCACATGTTGTACAGAAGGGTTTCAAGAAAAACCCTCCTCGCTCATCCAAAAACAAACTCCAGCATATTCCGTTGTCAGACACGACTGGATCTTCAAACGGGACTGGCTTCTATGGTCAGGTGAAACTATAAAAAGAGCTTTTTGGCAGCAAACTCACCAGATAGGTTGGGTGCAAACAGGAATAAAAAGTACCCCATGCCAACGGTTAAATATACTGCTGGATCTTTAATGTTGTGGGCCTATTTTTCTGCCAGAGGTCCTGGACATCTTGTTCAGATTGATGGCATCATGGATTTGAGCAAATACCAACAGCTAAAAAATGTAAACCTGACTGCCTCTGTTAGAAATTTTGGATCTCCCATCAGGACAATGATCCAAAACAAACATCAAAATCAACACAAAAATGGGTCACTGAGCACAAAATTAAGCTTTTGCTATGGTCGTCCCAGTTCCCTGACCTGAACCCTATAAAAAATGAGTGGGGTGAACTGAAGAGAAGAAGCACCAACATGGAGCTGGGAAATCTGAAGGATCTGGAGAGATTCTGTATGTGATTCTCTTATCAGGTGTTCTCCAAACACATCAAGCATTGTAAGAGAAAACTCAGAGCTGTTATCTTGGGGAAAGGCCATTGCAAAAATTGTGGATTATTGTGATGTTTTATGAGCTGTTCAGACTCTTATTCTGACTAGGGGTGGGAATCGCAGAGTACCTCACTGTACGATACGAATCACGATACCATAATATCACGAATACAGCGATTCTGCGATAATCGATATATTGCTAGACAATCCTATAAAGATATATCATGATATATGTCTAGTCAAGTCAAGTCAAACTTTATTTATAAAGCACAACTTTAACACAACTATCGTTGATCCAAAGTGCTTTACAATAAAAGGTTAGATAAGAAGCAACAGAGATCAAAATTAACAAAAAAAAATATGAAAACAAAATGCCTGTGAAAAGGTTAAGTGCAAGTTTTCTCTCTTTATTCAAGTCCAAACTGATAGAAAACAGCACAAAAAGTTCTGTAAATCAAATTTAACATGTTAAGTAAATTAATAATTTTATTCCTTGACTTATTAAAAGCTTACACATTTCTTTGTGTGTAAACCAACACATTTAACTGCTTATCAACTTTATATAGGCTATATATAGTGGCCGATATCTGCCATTTTTCAAGTATGGGCATCGGCCGAAACGTTTTCTGTTTGGTCGATGTGTTCGAGGTAGGACTTTTATTTTGACGGTGCCGAGAACGGCTGCGGCAGCGCCTGAGCACATAGTGCTCACATTCTCCCTCTTGTTCGCTGTTGTCATTCAGTTCTGTCTAATACGGATAGAAGTCTATCTAATAATCAGATAGAACTGTTAAACAAAGGAATTAAAATGTATACACAAAAGTATTATAACAATTGCTTTAATATTATTAAAGGCAAACATTATAATACTTTCTCGTTTGCAAATTCCGCAAATACGCATTTATATAATTTAAACAAATCTTTAAATGACTAATGAACATTTAATTTCACAAACCTTGCAGACTTAGTCGAATCTAGTTGAGATGTTGTGAAGTGTGCATGTGACCTGCATGATCGCGTGTTCTGTGACGGTCGGTCCTATGGTCCGTGCAAATTGAATATGGACAGGAGGAGAGTTCAGCTCCACTGGAGACGCGTGATCGACAAACTTTAATCTCGTGACTGATTTCAAATTATGCTGCGCTTTATGCATTTGCCCACTGTCATATTCATGTAATTTTAAGCCAAAGTGGTAAACAGCCACAGTGTAGGTATGAATTTAGATCTTTTGTATGTTTAAAAAAATATCGATACTTGGTGCCAGATTATCGATAACGTCTCACGGCTGGAAATATCACGATAAATCGGCACATCGATTTATTGTCCCACCCCTAATTCTGATGGCACCCATTCACTGCAGAGGATCCATTTATGAGCAAGTGATGTAATGCTGCATTTCTTAAAATCTTTTGCAATTAAGAAACAAAACTCTTCTACATCTTGGATGTCCTGAGGGAGAGTTAATGTTAAATACATTTTCTTTTGTGTGAACTATATATGTACAAAGGCAGCTTTAAAACATCTAAAATTATTGATCACCTTATCTGTGTTCTGCCATAGACCTGCAGGCCAGATTCCAGATGCTATATATATGTTCTCTGCTTATGCCAAATGGCCAATTATGCTGTGTTAGTAATATCAATGCATATGGATGCAGAGAGAGTGTGCTATAAATGCACAGCTTAACAAGGGGAACTTTACATTGCCAAACTGGGAAATTAATAACAGTCAGCAAATAAAGTGCATCAACATATGGTCAATGTTAAAGGGGTGGTTCATTGCGATGTCACTTTTTTAACGTTAGTGTGTAATGTTGCTGTTTGAGCATAAACAATAGCTGCGAAGTTACGAAGCTGAAACTTCAATGCAAACGGAGATATCGTCTTAAGGAAACCGACTGTCTTCAGAAAATTGGATGTCATTTTCATTTAATCTTGCATGTAATGTCTGATAAAGCAGTGTTTTTTTGAGTGGAGCGTGTAGCTTTGTGTACAGCCGTTACCGGGGAAACCTTGATCTCTACCACTCCCAACAGCACCTCCTGCTGGCATAGAATGAGTTTGCATATATATGCCGCCTGGGAAACACTGGACTAGAGGTCTGCATCCCCCCGGCCAGATTTCTTGCAACACGAGATTAAATTCCCGAATAAAACGCGGTAGCGGTCGGTAACTCTGGTGTAATTTGAACGGGAGCGGGCGATCTAGGTTGGAAGGTTCTGCGCGATCCTCTTGTTCAATATTCTCTGGGTCTGAATCTGGCTCAAATTGATATGGCAATATTGACGCCATCCTTAACTAAACCGGAGCAGACGGAACTTGCTGCTTTGGCAAGGGGTGGGGCAGTACTGGAACACCGTTCTCCAATCACAACGCACTGGGACAGCTAACCAATCACATCACATTTTTTTTCCTTCATCAAACCCGAAACTAATCGAGCCGTTTGTGCCAGGATGGGGAGAAAGGTATTGTAATAATGTAAATTATGTCAAAAATAATGTTTTTCGAACCACCAAGCATGAGAGCATGTTCTAGTACACCCCCAAAACAAATAATAAGAGCATAATAGGACCCCTTTAAGGAGCTCAAAGCAATTTACACAGCAAACAGAAGTGTAATTAATCACAGAGCAGAAAGCTTCATCACTTACATAACAAATGTCTTTGCGTTATATGTAGGTTTACAAAAATGAACAAAGAGGGAAGGAACAAGATAAAGAGGAGCACAGCGAGACAGGAGAAATGAGGAACAAGCAAAATGAGAGGGGAGAGAAATTAAGGACACAATCTGTGCGTCTTAGAAACCAGGATGTACAGTAAATCGGAGTGTGTCCCTGTTCTGCTTGTCTATGTGTGCATTGTCTTTTTTCCTTTTTTTTGTGATACAGTGTATACTCTATAGACCCTGTAGTGCTCACACATTACCATAGACTTATGATGAAACTAATTAAGTTAGCTGTACAAGTCATTTCTTAGTGTGGAGCAATGTGTCTTCTAGCCTAGTCTCAAATTGCACACCCACGACCACCCATAATCCATTCACTGACCATCTGATGCATATTGTACACAAAACTAGCAAGAGATGGCTTGAATTGCCTGGTTAAATCTCATTGGCTGGCATTACGCAACTTCCAAGAGTATGAGCACACAGGTTCTTGTTCTGTCCACAAACAAAGTCATAATTGATCCAAACAGCTGTTGACTAGCATCACAATGAAATCCATTCATCATTTTAGCTTAATCCAGTGTTAATCTAATGAAATCAAGGCAAATTTCTAGTAAGCAAATGTCCTAAATTGATTTATTACTGATTTCATCTGCACATACAATAGTTTTTTGATAAAAAAACTGAAATATCCTCTTCCAATAAAACTGCCTATAAGCAAGTCTCACTTTCAGAAAAAATAAATAAAGAAATAAAAGAAAGAAAGAGAGTGAGAGTCTGGTGTATAATTTAATTTATCCTGCCTGGAAGAAGGGAAGCACAGTGATGTAGACTGTAAGTGTGGTAAAAAGTGCACAAAGGCCTTTAATTTGTCTTCATCACCCTATTTCCTTTGCCCATAATCATTCAGCTGCTCTTTTTTCCTGTCTGATTCACAGCAGCAGAGTTGTAAGGTAGGATAATATTTTTTCTTTCTTAACAGCTAACCCTAACAGTTAACTAAAAAAGTATTCTGAAATACAATACACTGTATATATGTACACACACACACACACACACACACACACACATAAATGACTTTCCAGTTAGTAGCCTTTCTCAACATTTTTCGTTTAATTTACTGTGATTTGATAAACTAAATAACTAGAACTGAAGTAAAGATAATACAAACTTTTTGCATGACATTTAAATGACCAACCAAAAAAAAAAAAAAAAGAAATACTAAAAACTGACTAAAACTTTAAAATTAAAATAGAAAAATAATTTTTTTTTTTTTACAGTGTAGGAAACCAATTAAAATCACTTAGAAAACCATAGCAACCAGCTAGAACACCCTAGCATTGTGATGGCAAGTTTTGCATGTGTTTCACTGGAAATTACATTGGTAGAGAGACAAATCCCTTAGCAGTGTTCAACATTTGGGGCCACCAAATATGTTTTGTTTGTGAATGTCAAAAAAGGGGTGTTTATGCACAGTTGTTATTTCTCTTCGGAATTAAAAATGTCAAAGAACGTGATATTACTGCAAGTCAGCATGCATATTAATCGAGAATGACTGGTGTAGGTGAACAATACATATTCACACAATGTGCAATGATTTTTGACTGCGGACAACTGGATTTAAGTTGATCTGTAACCTCTCTCAATATTTCTGTTTCTCTCAAGGGCAGGGTGGGCCATGCCATTCGGCTGTTTAAAACCTGGCGAGAAGAAGGACTACAACAGTCCAACAGAAATCACAGACAAATATGATCTGGGCCAGATTGTTAAATCGTGAGTAAAATGTGTTTTTTTTTTTTGCAATCCGTTTCCTTTATTTTTGCATGTAAGTTGCAGAAGTTGTTCTCAAAGGTACTTTTTTTTTTTAAGGGATAATGTGCAGTCAGCCAGCAATTATCACAAAATATATCCAGAATGGCTCTTGTATCATCCCAAAGGGGTTTATTTCGTGATGATAATCAACTGACTGCATTATCCCTCTAATTATACTGCTACTTACCAAATAAATATATAAATAGATATGAACAATTGATTTGAGTAAATTTGATTATGTGAGTCTGTGTAGTGTTATGAGAGACTAGTACACTATAGGAAAGTTAGAGAAAATATTTTTCAGAATAATGTGTCAATTAGAATAGAGTATTCTAGCTGTGTGTGAAGACTTAATACAGTAATTCACAGAAAGTTAATTTTTGTGTGTACTATTCCTTAATTTCACTCAAAATTCTAATGTAATTAGTGCAATAAAATCACTTTCTTCTCAAGGGAGGAGTTCTGTGAGATCTTCAGGGCAAAGGATAAGAACACACTGAAAATGTACACCTGCAAAAAATTCCTGAAGAAAGATGGAAGAAAGGTGCGGAAGGCTGCCAAAAACGAGATTCTCATTCTAAAGATGTGAGTTATATATAGTTTTCTTTTTCAAAACCCTTAACAATCATTTTATAGAATGGGACTTCCTCTGCTGTCCTCAGATCTGCTGTTTTGATTTAATTTGGTTTAAGGAGAATCATATTTATTTCATTTATGAATAATGATTCTTGAAGCTCTATTAAACACTGCTGTTCCTCTAAGATGATTTGTGTACTGCAGAAGCTCGAGTTAGTTTGTCACATTCTTGACTCCAAAAAAGTGATTTTTCCTTTTCTTAAATCAACTGCAGTGATGAATGTGTTAGACAAATTGTGATAGATGCAATTCATTAATAATTTATTTCACTGCATAAGGTCTGAAACTTGCCCAATGCAGATATGTGAGTGCAAACATCTAGCTGTATTACATAAGCTTGATTTGAATAACATATTCCGTTTAATGGCACTGAAATTTTAGGTTTTGTAAGATAATTAAAAATCAAATGTTTCAGTTTCAAAACAGCAACAACAAAAAAACAACATATAGCTTGCAAATTGCTTATTATTATTATCATTATTATTTTTATTTATTTAGTAAAAAGTGAAACAACAGTGAGTTTTAACAAAAAGCTTCTTGGCTTGTGAAGCTATGTGTAGCCTATGTTCATTATTGACATTTTCAGTCATCTCAAATGAGTGGAAAGTACATGAAACACCTAATGGTGCAACGCATTTTGTTAAATATACCAAACATGTCAAAGCCTTAAGATATTAGATAAAAATGCTTTGCACAGTGTATGATTATATATGATTATTCTGCATCTAAAAGGCTGATTTTCTGAGTCACTGATGTCACTTTGATCCTGCAGTGCTGCGTTTGCGCCCCGCTCACAAATCACAACAGCTCATGAATAACACATAAAAGAAATGTCACTTTTAGAATTAGCTGTTTTTTTATGGGTTCACCTTTAGTTCTCTTCTCTATTGCTGGCATAAGAGCACATTAGTGTCTTCAAAGCATAATCAGTGTATTAATTTCTTAATTTAAAAGTTGTCTGACATAACCACCTTTACAAAATTCTGAAACACTTCTTTATAGTGTCCGTGTTACATAATGAATTAAATTATACTATTATATGTGCTGGAATTAAAATGTAATATGCTTTAAGGGAAGTTTCTTGCTATTTCTGCTATTCAGTTAATCTCAATTTATTTAAATAGGGCTTTTTCATAATACATATAGTTGAAAAGTTACTTTAAAATAAGAATAATGTGTTACAAACACTCCAGTGATTAACCAATGGCGGCAGTGGCAAGAAAAAACTGATTTAGTAGATGAAGAAGAAACCATGGGAAGCTGCATCCTCAGGCTGGCATATACTTGAAACCAATTACATGAAGCATATATACATAAATGTTGATTTGAACTGATGTGATTCAGCCACAGAGCATTAATGATAATACTAACATTTGTTGTTTAATTAAATATGATTATAGCGGATAAAGGAATCCATGTGAAATGCAAATATTAGGGATGCAGGCGTGTGTGTCTGGTGTTGGATGACTCTGCAGTGGCAGATGGGGCATGAGTGTGGGGTTGATGGCAGGCCAGGATAAATCTGGGCACAGAGCTACATGTGTATCAACCTCCTGTGTGCCACAAACTGTCTCCTAACTGATTGTCCATTTTTCCTCCCCAGGGTAAAACACCCCAACATCCTCCAGCTGGTCGATGTCTATGAGACCCGGAAAGAGTACTACCTGTTCCTTGAGCTGTAAGTCCTCAAATCCATTTCAGAGGAATGTTTATTTTTTTTAGGAGTGTAATGATTTCTGTACTTGGTACCAATACCAGTGAATTTACCATTTCAATTTGCTCTTCAGCATACTACATATTTTACTTAACTATTTAAAAAGTTAAATATTAATGCAAACTATTAAATATGTCAAAAGGCATGTGGCCTTTAAGTATTTTCAAATTAAATAAACATTTCCTCAAAAAAAGAATTAAAATTACAATGGGACAAAGAATGTTTGAAGTTTTTTAGTATGCAACTTTAAAATAATTATTAACCATACTATTACTATTACTATTACTATTATACATACATATTAGCCTGACATGAAATAATCACATTTTTAAAAATGTTTTTTTAACCTTTAGACAAAATATAAAAACCCCAGGGTAAAACACCCCAACATCCTCCAGCTGGTCGATGTCTATGAGACCCGGAAAGAGTACTACCTGTTCCTTGAGCTGTAAGTCCTCAAATCCATTTCAGAGGAATGTTTATTTTTTTTAGGAGTGTAATGATTTCTGTACTTGGTACCAATACCAGTGAATTTACCATTTCAATTTGCTCTTCAGCATACTACATATTTTACTTAACTATTAAATATGTCAAAAGGCATGTGGCCTTTAAGTATTTTCAAATTAAATAAACATTTCCTCAAAAAAAGAATTAAAATTACAATGGGACAAAGAATGTTTGAAGTTTTTTAGTATGCAACTTTAAAATAATTATTAACCATACTATTACTATTACTATTATACATACATATTAGCCTGACATGAAATAATCACATTTTTTAAAATGTTTTTTTAACCTTTAGACAAAATATAAAAAACAATTTTTTAAATCTGCATACGTGTTTTTGTATTATCATATTTCATACATGATACATTTTGTATAATCTCATAGACCGTATGATATAGTGAGAATATGGAGCTGATACACATTTTTTCAGAGGAAACTAAGCAAAAATATGCAATTTGGTGCAGTTGCTTACCAAAACGTAAGATGAAATTCTTATAGCCTGTAATGTAACCCACTGAGATCTTTATTAGTGATGTTTTGTTCATGAACGATTCGTTCAATTTGAACTAGGGCTGGACGATATGGCCAAAATTTATATCGTGATATATTTCTTAATTTCGGTCGATACAATATAATTCCGATATCGATATGAACACTATTAAAAAAGCCTCATAAAAACGGCCAAGAACGCCCACAACAGATGTCTGTACCTACAAACTTATGAAAAATTAATTTGCCAACTCTATGAAACCTACTCCTATAAAACTATATAATATTTTAGGAAAAATAAATAAATGTTCACCTTTTATTGGTATTTAGCCTTCATACAAACAAGAAATGTGAAATCACTGTAAAATAAAGCTCAGACTATTTCAAACTATAGGCTAACATACCAGTCAAAGATTTTTAATGTTTCTTAAAGAATTCTCTTCTGCTCACCAAATGATTGCTGAAGGATCATGTGACACTGAAGACTGGAGCAATGATGCTGACAATTTAGCTTTGATCACATGAATAAATTACATTTTAAAATATATTCAAATAGAAAGCAGTTATTTTAAATAGTAAAAATATTTCAAAATGTTACTGCTTTTGGTGCATTTTGGATCAAATAAATGCAGGCTTGGTGAGCAGAAGATAATTCTTGCAGTTCAAAAACCTTTGACTGGTAGTGTAGGCTGATTCTTCTTATAGATTGAAACGTGCATTAACCAGGATAACGAGTATGAAACATGCTCCGAGTTGCTTCAGAAAACAAAAAAATAGAGCAACAACAAAAGCATGTTGCTGGAAATGGGTTTATTATTGAAAATGCAAACTGATTGTCTGCCAGCAGGAGGTGCTGTGAGAGCGGTGGAACGTAAACAAAGCAGCTCCGCTCATGAACAGTACATTATCAGATAAAAATGCCATCAAAACTATTCTGAAGACATTCGGTTCCCTTCAGAGATACATTCATATAAAACACCCGCGACGCGTTTTGATTTTGAAACGTGCAGTGCTCATGTTTATTCAACGAAGTCAAACGCCACAAATAAATCAATGTATGGGAAACACTGGTAATGTATATTGAAATATCGGAAATGTGTTTAAAAATCATATCACCGTTACTGAAAAAAATTATATCACGATACATATTGATATTGAATTATTGTCCAGCCCTAATTTTAACTAATCTTTAATATGACTCGGGAATGGCGAGTCGTCTCAGTGAGGGATTTGTTCATTTCATGTTGACTGCGCATGCGCAACATCCTACTGGTTCTACAGGAAACAAAAATTATTAGTTCACCTCTCAATTCATTTGTTCATCCCGTGACAGCCCCATAGGCGCTATGCAGTCTGTACCGGATAGAGAAATGATTAGTTCACTTCTCAAGTCTTCTGGTCTAAGTCGTTTGTTCTTTTGTCATGTGACGTGATAACAGTATTGGATACAGAAATTAGTTAATAATTCCCAACCTTCCTTACACACACATTTACAGTTATGTGATGCATTTCTGTTCTCAAATTGTAGCTTTTTTTATTTCTCATAATTTATACATTTGTGAATTTCTGTCATGATGGTTAACATGATGTGCTAATAAAGAGGCTTTAAACTTTATCAGTATGATAAGGAAAAATCACTGTGATAAAGCAAAGATACCAACATATAATATTTGTTTCCTACATATAATGTTTGTATATGTTGTAAGATACTGAGCCAGGAAGCCGGCACGTGACAAAAGAATGAACGACTCGAACCCGAAAACTCAAGAGATGAACTAATCATTTCTGTTTCCGGTACAGACTGCATACAGTAGCTTCAGTTTTCAGGGATGTGACATGACAAAAGAAAGAAAGATACAGATCGGGCGGTGAGGGAAACTAACAGACTGCATAATCTGAAACAATGAATTAATTATTTCTGTTTCTCATAATCTGACCTTGGTTGCATTATAGTTTTATTGCATTAACAGTCTTATTCAAAACGTTGCGTAAGCAGATGTGTCGTGGAATGTGGCTATTAACATGTAAAGTTTAAATTATATTCTGCTGAAATGAACAAAGATTTGTTCATTTTGATGAACGAGATTCAAAGATCCGACTCAGTAAAATGATCTGATCTTCTTATCACTAATCAATCAGTTTAGAAAACAACTTACATAAAATGCATTTAAATACCAGTTGTCACTCTATATGTTCTAATAATATGTCATAGTAATATGTAACAATTTTGAACAAGCATTTGAAAGCCGCTGCCTGTCTCTCAGACAACATACAGGTAGCAAATGCAAAAGTGCAAAGAACTGACAAAAGCTGCAGAAAACAAATTCCTCTGGCAAAGGTTGTTTGGCGACAAAGGTTCCCTTCTAATCATGTTGATACTGACTTCAAGAGGCTAAAGCTGCTGCTACTGTTGCTTGAGACAGAACAGAAATAAACCCTGCGTTCAGACTGTCCTAGCACGATTATACCACCTCATCCTTGTCACATTCCTACCTGTCTGTTTGGATTTGCATTCATTATTTTAATGCCTCATCCCTGCTGTACGCTGTATGTGTGGCATGGACTGGATGACTTGCACCTGCTACACCTGCGTGATCAAGTAAAGCTTTTGAAGGTGCCAACGTTTAAAGCAGGGTGTGAATAATTCATAATTGCACAGAAAAAGCAGCTCAGCATGTTGTGTTTTCTTGCAGAGCCACAGGTCGGGAGGTATTTGACTGGATTCTGGATCAAGGCTATTATTCTGAGAGGGACACCAGCAATGTTATCAGACAGGTGATGGAGGCAGTTGCTTACCTGCACAGCCTGAAGATTGTTCATAGGAACCTGAAGGTACACCACACAGCGCCCTCTGGTGGTCATATAATTCATAATTAATTAACATTATTACCCAGAAACTTCCACACAAGACACACAATTCGGTTTTCGAATCTAAACTTTCGGACCACACTTTAATTTTTTTGTGTAATGATATCAGATCTGATTGTTTATTGTTTGTTACTATTTTTTTTAGATCTCCAATCTCAAAAATCCTTTTTTTTTTGCTTTTCATAAATGATATACTTTCTTAGTAAATTCTTCAGTAAATTTTCTTGTTTAGCATCAAACATTCACAAAAGTTGTTTGCTTCTCAAGTAAACTAGATTTTAAGTTAAATTTAGTGTATTTTTATTTGCTTATTGGCAAATTGTGCTTTATTGATTTAAGCATAAATCTACTTACATTTACTGAGGTTTATGTCTAAAATACAGAAAGGAAATAATTTGCCAATGGTGAAAGAAAAAGAGGATAATTTTACTGGAAAACAAGGGGGAAAATACTAAAAAGTATCAAGATCATGTATCAATACTTTTAGCTGTTAAAATAATCAAACACGTAGGGCCTCATTTATAAAATGTTGTGTAGAAACCATCCTACATTTGATTTTATGATCATCTCTCAAATATGCGTACGTGTGATTCATAGAATAAACTTATGCACAGAAAATGCACGTGCGCCTCTCTTTCAGATGTGAAACCTATGAATCACAAATAATCTTGAACTTGCACACAAATGAATGGTTTCAGCTCTCTGCCTGGTTAACGATTCCTAATTAATGCCATTAACATATAAAAGATCACCAGTCATCATCCAAATCCTTTAATTTAGAACAGCAAGCTGCAAGAACAGCTTACATTTTCAAAAACCTGCAGTACTCCGACAAGAAAAAGTGTGTATATCTGCTCGGACCCTGACGTGACACTAAGCACTTTTCCACGTCAAAGGCAGTTTTTACAAATATGAGCTTTGGCGTGGATTTAAGCGCACACACACTCAAAGATCAAATCTTAGGGAATCTAGTTAGGGAAGCATCTAAATTTTATTACATTCGTTCGGTGTGAACAGCAATTGATAATGGATAATCAACAGTGACAAGGTCGCGCCAGAAGAGCCTCACACAGCCTGTCTGTATGTGAAACAATCTCATGGAGAAATCAAAATATATGAACGCAACTGCACACAGAAGAAACATAAAAATGTAACTTAGTTTTTATATTTATAACATATAGCCTAGTTAAGCAACACAACCAAGAGAGTGAAATTTTCTCTGAAATTTGACAATGATTTTATGCAAGAATGCAAACGAGTAGTTAATATGCATTTTAGTACAATATTGTCAATGTTGACAGTTTTTGCTTGATTTGGTTAATGACAATAGTTCCAAACAAAGGTCAAAGCAGAACAGTCTGAGCAAATCTCTGAGCAACACTGGTGTTTTGTTACTGAATGGTTACTGAATGATTCAGCATTTTTGAATTACTCATTTGTGTCAATGATTCAGTGGTCCATTCATAAAGACAGGCACTTGCTTCATTCTTGAATGAATCAGCTGTCTGAACGAATTGTTTGAATTAATGTCTCAATGACTCACTTATTAAGATAGTCACTTGCTGCCACCTACTGGCAGTTTTCTTTCATATTTAAAAGTAGGCTACAGTAGCTTATCTTTGCATTTTTTCCAACATTTTGTATTTGTATATTAAAAAAAAAACGATTTAAAACACCAAGCTCATAACATGATTTATTCTGTTATAATTTTGCAGTGTAAATGCATTCATGCTACATTTTAGCTTCAGTAAACTGTCTGTGTAAATGCATCTAAATGCCACTTCAGCTGCTTCTGTTTCTTCTGCAGTGGAAAGATAGGTTTTGTTAATACTGATTTCATTTGATTGGTAACAGCCCTATATTGTCTTGTTATATTAAGTGAAATTATTAATATAAAATGGCCAAAAAATAGGCAAAATAGGCAAAAAATGACCTAGAAAAAAAAGTAAATAAATTTTAGTATGCAGTAACTTAACTCATATAAAACTAATTTCCCATCAACAAAATTGTGGCCAGTGAAAATGCTGAGTGGCTAGACAATTTGGAAAACCACTAGCCACAGTGGCTGGTGAGCAAAAAAGTTAATGTCAAGCCCTTGCTAATAATGTATTGTTCAGTAAATAGTGTTCCTAAATTTTGCTCTAGAAAGTTACTTGTTTTTACATCAGTTGTCTTGACACAAAAACAAAAGTCTGTTTTGAGAAAAGGAATTTCACAAAGCATCATGTCGTCTTGTCATTCTCATTCCCTCTAGCTTGAGAATCTGGTGTATTACAACAGACTGAAACATTCGAAAATAGTCATCAGTGATTTCCATCTGGCAAAACTGGAGAATGGACTCATCAAGGAGCCCTGTGGAACCCCAGAGTATCTGGGTAAGAAGCTCTTCAAAACAGGCAAAACCTCTTTAAACACTCATGGGGCCAGTTGCAACAGATGGTCTTTATTGATGAACAACAACATTTTTTTTTTTACAAGATTTCTGTTTACATGGGCATGCATTTGTTAAAATTCGAATAGCAAACTATGGTAATCTGTGTCACTATGTTTTTTTTAAATGCATTGTCCTTGTTCATTTTTTTTTCAACCAGCCCCAGAGGTTGTTGGGAGACAGAGATATGGCCGACCTGTGGACTGCTGGGCCCTTGGTGTGATCATGTACATACTGTGAGTGTATTCTCCCATAAACCAAAACCAGGAGCTCATAATACCTTCATTTACAGACAGTATTTAAAGGGGTCCTATTATGCTTTTTCACTTTTTCAACTTTAGTTAGTCTGTAATGTTGCTGTTTGAGCATAAAAAAGATCTGCGAAGTTACAAAGCTCAAAGTCCAATTCAAAAGGAGATATTTTATTTAACAGAAATCACTTTTCAAAAACTACAATGAACAACTTGTTTGGACTACAACACATATTTTCCTGGATTTGTGGTGTCACAAATACAGACGAGTGGGACAAGACCTGGTTGAGCTGCACTAGAGAAGGCAACGAGTGTTATCACTATGTCGGAGACACGCTAGCTTTCCCAAGGCAGACAAACTTAGAGTGGTTACAATCATCCCGGTTTAAATCGGGCTCAAATTGATTTGATTTTGAGCAATATTTACACTGAAGCTCGCAGGCGGCTATGGTAAGGGGCATGACATTTCCCGACCAGGCGCCGAGTGCTGCCAATCACAACACACACTGGACCAGCTAACCAATCACAGCACATTTCATATTTCAGAAGGCGGACCTTCATTTGATACAGGAACTATTCAAGCCGTTCATGCCAGACTGGGGAGAGAGGTGTTGTAATAATGTAAAATATGTGAAAAATAATGTGTTTTTCGAATAACCTAGTATGAGAGCCTGTTCTAGTACACCTCCAAAACAAAATCAAGACTTTGTAAAAGAGCATAATAGGACCCCTTTAACTAGTCTTCCACAGCCAGACTTTTGATTATCAGCTGAAGTGTGGTCCACATTGTATCTTATTCTGATCAAAAACCACCCACGTTGACTAGAATGTGCTGTCTGAGGAGTAAATGCGAAACCGATGATACCTTATTAATAGATCAGAGTCATCTAATTCACATAGCGTTTCTGCAGTCTCCACAAAATCTGTACAATGATAAAAAAAATGCCAATATTATGCTAATTTTATGTGCAAAATGCATGTCAGGGAGCTGTGTGGGCATGAGAGTACCATTACCCAGATCCTTCTCACTGTTTGTAATGATTTCCCTCATCTCATGCACAGGCTCTCTGGAAATCCTCCATTCTATGATGAAACAGATGATGATGACTATGAAAACCATGACAAGAACCTCTTCCGGAAGATTCTTGCTGGAGACTATGAGTTTGACTCACCATACTGGGATGAAATTTCAGACTCCGGTAGTGTTAGTGAAGAATACTGATAAAATCTCACATGCTTAGTAGATCACAAACTTGTCTTATGAAAACCTTGATTTTAAAGACATGGTGTGACAGTTTAGTTGTGTTTACATCTGCCATTTTGTCAATTCGCAGCTAAAAACTTAGTGTCACGTCTTATGGAGGTGGACCAGGATCAGAGACTGACTGCACAAGAAGCCATCAACCATGAATGGTACTTATAGTATTAATATACCTGACAATTACTGGTTACACTTTATTTTAAGGTGTCTGTTACACAGGTTACATGTACTTACTATTATAATAAAAATGAATTATGCATAATTACATGCAAGTAACCCTAATCCAAAACCTAACCATATAGTAAGTGCATGTAGTTAATTAATATTACTAAGTACTTAAATTATATAATTACACTGTAACATTGACACCTTAAAATAAAGTGTAACCCAGTTACTCAATATATTGGCATTCCTAACTACTGAGAGAAAATTTTGTGTATGAAATACACCACTGTTCAAAAGTTTGGGTTATAATCCTTCAAAAATCATTCAATCATCAGCATTATGCTTCATATTTTATTTTTCAGGATTCTTTGATGACTATAAAGTTTAAAAGTTTTTGTAACAATGTAATTGTCACTTGATCAGCTTAATGCTGAATCATTACTGAACATTTAAATGAAGAAAACATTTCTGACCCCAAACCTTTGAACATTACTGTATCTAAAAACAAGTTTCCAGTCCATATAATATGTTTTTTGCACCATTAAAGGATATCTGGAAATGCTGCATCAGACAAGAACATCAAGGAAAACGTGTGTGCACAAATCGAGAAGAACTTTGCTAAAGCTAAGTGGAAGGTAATTTCTAGATGAAGTTCATGCTTTTGTGTTAAGAAGTTGAGTTTGGCCAAATTTAATATAGGATTACCACCTCCCTTTAGAAAGCGGTACGGGTCACTACCATGATGAAGCGTCTCAGGGCACCAGAGCATCAGACGGCGGCACCAGTAGCAGCACCTGGTGCGCCCAACCCTGCAGCAGGGGCTCAGGAAAACCCTCAAGCTCCATCGGAGGCCTCCACAGCCCCATCGAGTACCGCTGAAAGCAACTCGACGAGCACAGAAGCCCCTGCCGTGGAAGCAGCGGCTGCTGCCGCCCAGCCTCCGGCTGAGCCTGTTCTTCACACCCCAGCTCCGGAGCAGCCCAATCCTACACCGCGATGCAACGGAGAGGCTTTAGCCCCCCTGCCATCAGACACAGGGGAGGAACAGAGCAGTTAATCTTGCTACCTCTCTCCCACCTGCGTTTAGATCCCACACACAGCAAGCATGCTAATACTGATCCCGCAGCACATAGCATTAATCTCAACGCTCTGATCGTGAGCCAACTTCTAAAACATTTCCCAGCAAGCATCTGTTTTCTATTGAATCACAAAGCTGTGTGACGTGTATCGAAGGCTCTGGCCACTCTAACCTTGCGCAAAAGAAGAAAAAAGCTGTTTTCTGCTTACATTAAGCCAAGATTGGAATCTTTAGCACTGATCTGCATACATGTTTTAGGATAGATGATTAAAGCAGGCCTCATTTTATAAAAGTACTTTTTTATTTTATTGCATTGCAGTTTGTTAACATCCATCTTGAGCAGGAGCACCGATACACAGCTTCATGTGCGATGTATAGTTTCTGTAAATAGCTTACTAACCTCTGTAGATTAGACGTAGCCAAGAACAGCATGCTTTTTCAAATCTGCTGTTTATGACAACAGATAACTGCTACATTCAGCTTCAGCTTTACATGGCCATTTCATGTCTTGATCGAACACGCGCTCATGAAATGTTGTCATCAGTTATGAAAAATACTTCGGCAGCAACTAAGGCGGCTAAATTCATCTCATAATGGCATTTTAATGGTTGAGATATGTGGCCCAATAAATGGAGCAGAGTAGGTAAACATAAGAAATACCTCAAATCTGCTTGGTAGCTAGCCACATGAACAGTGGAAAATGTGATTTGTTCTTATAATGTATTATATACTCATTTGCATACAATTGTACATGTATTGAGTAATAATATACTTGTCCATTTTAAAAGTACATATAGCTACACACACTGATCTTTGTTTTCAATAGAATTTCATCTGAGGCATAGATGTACTACTATTTTGAGACCCTTCAATATATTAATCCTTACATTTTATCTTTCATTGTATCTCACTTTACTAATCTATAATGCATTTGAATATATTCTGAGATATTTAATTTATTCAACTTAAACATAAAATTATAAAACATAAATTATATATTTAACTTTTTAAAATTCCAAATATGTAACAGTCAGATATTTACTTATTCCTGTCAAGTCACTTTTATTTATTTAGAGCTTAATATGATACAGATTGTTTCAAAGCATTCTATTACTTAATTTGACCCCACCCCCCTTCTTTTAAGAAAGGCATGTTCAGATTACAAAAGAAAAAAAAAATCTCATTGACTAACCCATGTGCTGCAGGAATGAATTAGTATTTATGCACTTAAGGATTTTTGAGTGAGATCTAATATTTTAAGATTTTATTTAAGTTAAGAGTTTAAGCCTTTCTGTGTCTTAAAAGGCAGTTGCTAACAAGTGGCTAAACCATCATCAAGCCAAACAGAAAAAACATGCTTATACTCTAATTTTTCTAGACTATTCTGACTCAAATTTTCCAACTCAAAGATGGAGACAGAGAAAAGTTGTGTGACCGTTGTTTTTATTTCTGGTGATTGTATTTAGGTTTCAAAATTCATAAATGTTGTTTGGGATTATCTTGAACAAAACGTGTAAGAATCATAAACTCATTGGTCACAAATCTTATTTCTGCAATAACTAAAATCCTATTGGCTGTTCATCAAGGGAATTAGGGTGATGCTAACTTGGGTTACAAAAATACATCCTCCCTGCAGCGCTCTACATTGGTTAGATATATTCCTGCCTAAAGCAAATACTTTAACACTAATGATCCTAATTAAGTCTAGCCCTATTAACCAAACCCTAATCTTAATGATTTAAGATTTTAGCCGATAGCTTTTTTTGTCTTTACTTATTTTATAGAAATGTCTGCTGTCAGCAACAGACACCTCATCTTTCACACTGATCTTTCTCATTAAACATTCACGCTTCACTAGTGTGTGGAGTTTACTGTCTGTTACTCATGAGGCAGTACTGATTCATTTTTTAGTTGATGCGTTCTACAGTAAATTTAAAACTCATTATGTGCCGTCATGATTTTTTACATGAACAGGTTGATGTTTTGTTTTCAATATACAAACATATTTCAATTTTAGCACAGAGAAATGGCAGGTGATGTAGGATTAAAAGAACTTAACGAAAGCAAAATGAAACGGTCGACCTCTTAATATGAGCAATAGTCTACAACTGCGATACTGTGATGCTACTCTCAATGTCAGTGTCCATGTGAACACTCAGTTTCTGATTGGCGTGTCCTCCGTTGAAGTTAACAATAAAGGGTGAGAAGCTCAGGATTACACAGGACAGATGAAGCCAGTGCACCTATTGTACAATTATTTCATGTAGGTGAACAAAAACAGTGACGAAAGTTTCCCCTCCAGTGGCCAACGATTTGTAATTGTTGTGCAGTGGTGACATGCTGTAATTTTCTAAACATCACAGGAGTCAGTGGAGGTTTGACTGAAGAAGGCCTTGATATGCAATTATGCTGTCAGTGGTCTTGATTTGAAGATGATGCACAGCATGGGCTGTCACAGGTTTCTACGGAAGTCAGCTTTGATATACTTTGGATCTCACACGTGTCACTGTCATTTTGTATCTTTCACTTCTTTTATCTTCTAAAATATTTACTTTCTAAAATCTGTCCCATACCTTTATTCGTTCTATCTACTCAGAGACTTTGAGATGTTGTTTTTTTGTCTTTGATTTTGTATAAAATACTGAAAGCTCACACCGTTAAGACCTAAAATAAAAAGAGTGGCAAGTAATGTTTCATGTGGGTCTTGAAGAAAAAAAAGAGATTTTTATAGCATTCATGTATACTGAAACCGCAGCTAGATACTGTGTTAAAATTCAAAGCAATTTTTTTTAACAGTGCTTCACTATTGCCTAAGTGTTCGATGTCTGTTGATTTCCTCATTCTCTGATGTTCTTCTCAGTGTGGTTGACTGTGAACCTGTGAATACACTGAGGACTGACCTCTCTTCACTTTAACCTCTGTATTCTTCAACTGACTTTCATGCTTTCAAAATAAACACATCCTGAATGATCATCCATTAGTAGTCATTTTTTATATGCTGCATGTTACACGCTCCAACAACTACTTTTACTTTTAATGTGAGACATTGAGAATTAAATTTGTCAAAAATCTGAAAGAAGACCATGTCTTATTTTAAAAAGTAGACTGTTACATTAACAATCTTGGAATAGCATCTGCACAGGGCTCTTAGAGTAATTATTTGGCATGGAGGAATGTTGTGTCAGACTCATCCTTAACTGAAGTTATTTGTTAACACTGTTCTTCTCAACGTCGATGGTCTATTAATATTTGCCATGTCTGTATATGTCCTATGAGGATATGATATATTAGAGGGGAAAAAGGTGAAAGGAAGTGAAGAAATACTGTTTGACTTGGATTTTGTAAATGGCATTGGGAGAATAAGAATGTGAAGTTACAGTGAATGGCAAAATATTAATCAATTCCACATATTACATGCACCAGTGCAAGTCTGGGCCTTATATATATATCTGTCATGACAACTCTCGGAGGGATTGGCATGGTAATGTACATGACAATGTTAATGTATTTCGTCTTGGCGGAATAGATCTGCAACGCTAGATCTGCAAGTACCGAGACTTGCTACTGCCAATACATCCACAACATGCTGCTGTAAGAAATACTGCTGCTGCACATATAACACTTATGAATAACCCCCATATAGCATACATTAATCACCCCGTAGAAGATCTATACAGGTGGAGCTGGGGAAGGTGGAGGGTTTCTGAAGCAAGCTGCAAACTGCTACAGCAAACAAGACAGGTATTTGAATATTGAGCAGTAAGCTCATGCGCAAAGCCGACCTCATACGTCATCCGCCCGGAACTGCTTCCGTTTACAACAGTGAGCGCAAGCTAGATTAAATTGATTTTATATATGGTTATTTTTCGTACAAAAACGCATCGATTTGCTACAGGAGGACTTTGTTCACCCCCTGCAGGTGGAGGGTTTCTGAAGCAAGCTGCAAACTGCTACAGCAAACAAGACAGGTATTTGAATATTGAGCAGTAAGCTCATGCGCAAAGCCGACCTCATATGTCATCCGCCCGGAACTGCTTCCGTTTACAACAGTGAGCGCAAGCTAGATTAAATTGATTTTATATATGGTTATTTTTCGTACAAAAACACATCGATTTGCTACAGGAGGACTTTGTTCACCTCCTGCAGCGTGTGAGACACTTTTTTTTTATGGATGGGTGCTTTTTATTTAACTTCTTTTGGACTGAAGCACTGCAACACCCGCTGACTGCCATTAAACAGCTTGAAAGATCAAATAATTTTTAATATAACTCCGACTGGATTCGTCTGAAAGAAGAAAGTCATATACACCTAGGATGACTTGAGGGTGAGTAATTTATGGGCTAATTTTCATTTTTGGGTGAACTGACCCTTTAATGCAACAGTATATATATAAAATAATAATAATAATAATAATAATACAACTTTTTGACACTATTCAGAGGATGGTCATAATGAACAGAACCAACCAAAAATACATACGCAAAATATAAATAAAAGGGCAAAACACATAAGGCTGAAGTTTGAGAGTTTGCCACTGCTATGGACAAAATAATAAAATCCATATGCATATTCAGTGCCTGAGAGTGTTGCTTATACACAACAGGTTTATAAGGAACAAACACAAATTAAGTTGGCATTTATTACCCACTTCACAATCACTAAGTCCTCACTCGCAATTTTAATAAATAATGAGTTTTAGATGAATATTCCCTCTGATTTTATTTTAAAAAATACACACTTAAGAAAAAAATACATAGAACCCTATAATAGTAGTGGCCTACTCCTTTGCAGTGCATCAGAAAGCAAGCATCCTAGAGGCTTAGTGAAGCTTGCCCTCTGCTGGTTCACATCATTTAGTACATCACATATAATTACATAATTTAGTAAATATTCAAAGATTATCAACCAGACAGTAAGGCAATGGCTTCTCTCTCTTCTGGTAATAAGACGTGAGAACATTTTATCCTCTGCCCAATGCATCACTTAACCTCAAAGTCTAAGAATGAATCCACATTTATCATCAGCATCTAAACCACTTTAAAGGATGTTTCTAATGACATCAGAGTGAGCTGGCCTACTAATGTCCTGTCCAGACCACAAACTTTACAAATGTGACGTCCTGTACATGATTTACCCTACATTCTGAATGTTATAATGGCACTGTCAGGAATCGCTTCCTTGATCTCACAACCTGATAATACCAGCAAACATCTCTCCTAATGTCCTTCAAGACTGATCAGGTTACTTAAAAAGTGTTATTCCATGCGTTCATTTCTTTCCAGAGTGCTACACTTCAAAAAGCATCTGCTTGGGCAAGACATAATCGATAAAAGTTATTCTGAAGCTTTCATGTCAGACCGATAAAGAGGTTTTGAAACAGTGAACAAAAGACTTTGTAAGCATGAATAGAGGCCTTTCCATAATAATGACAGCCTATGATGGCATGTTGAAAGGATGGCACCCCTTCCCCCTCAGAGATGGGTCGGGGAGATAAGCATGTGGGTTTCTGAGCCATTCTATCCTCAATGTGTTCAGCTATTCACTCCGATAATCATCCATCACCCCAGTGGGTGAGAACAGCCAGTCACTGCGACGACTGTGCCCACCACTGGCACTGAGACACCAGACACAGGGAATGATGGGAGCAATCAGATAAGACAGAGACAGAGGTTTGTCTGTTGGGGGACACAAATGGCACAAAAGAGGCTAGTGATGATGAGATCCTATTTTGCCTGAATGCGATGCCCGTGATGATGCCCGCTGTGCCTGGAGAACAACAACAATACAGTGACAGGCAGAAGTGCTGTATGTCCTCTCTGGGAATGATGTTTAGTAACTGCAGGCACAAGTGAAGCCACTGAGAAAACTACACCAATGTGCTGACATTTCAACACACATATTTTACCTGTTAAAGGGATAGTTCACCCAAAAATGAAAATTCTGTCATTAATTCGGTCTCATGTTGTTCCATCTTGGGAACACAAATTAAGATACTTTTGATGAAATCCGAGAGCTTTCTGACCCTCCATAGAGAAAAATGTAACTGAAATGTTCCCAGACCCAGAAAGATGTAAGGACATTGTTAAAATAGTCCATGTGACATCAGTGGTTCAACTGTAATTTTATGAAGCTACGAGAATACTTTTTGTGCGCAAAGAAAACTAAAAGAACTTTTTTTCAACAATTCTTCTCTTCTGTGTCACTGTACACCACCATTATCGAGAGTACCACGTCGTGGGCCAATAGAGGTCGGAAGTTTGAGAGGCAGTGTGTAAACGCAATTGACACAACGTGAGGTCGTATTTATTTTTGATCTTGCGAAAATTTCGGACGAGAATTTAGGACTCATTGTGCAAAGACCTTTAGATTAATCTTTACCAAATTGATGGAATAGCAAAAGTGTGGAGGCAAAAAGGAACTGCTTATGATCCAAAGCATGCAACCTCATCTGTAAAGCACGGTGGAGGTGGAGTCATGGCATGATTGGGCATGCATGCTCTCATCTTTATTGATGACTTAAATGATGGTGATAGCAGAATGTTCAATTTTGCAATTTTGTCTTTACTCAGAATATCATACTTTCATACTTATCTGCGCTATTTCTCTTCAGAAGTTATTAGCATTCACTGATAAAATGCACTCGTTTTTAACTAGTGTTGAGAATATATTTTAATCATTTCAAACAAGCGCTCGTCAAGTTACGCAGGTGTCTATTGTAATTGCCATCTCATCGGACTCTTTTTCAACTGTAAAATAACGGGCCAGTGTTGCCAGCTTGTAGAAAAACTAATTGCTGCATTACAAAACCCCAAGGTGCAAGTGCGAGCTCAGCATGCATGTGCCTGCAGTAGTTAGAAAAATCTGACTACGCACATACTGTGCTGATGATGACATTTGCGCCAGTAAACCAAAGTATTGGGGTATTTGGTTTTTTAATTACTTAAAAAGAGAAATTAATAGGTGATGCAACTTTTTTTCTCAACACCTTGGCAGATTTTATATTTATTACTATTATTATTATTAGCTACAACAATCAACAAGTGAAACATACACTACACAATAAACAAGGCTAAATACACAAAGAAAATTCTTAAAGAAAATCCTTAAAGGTACATTCTCTGAAAACAAGTCCTAATATCTTATGCAGTGTTATTTCTCATATGAATTTATCTTGTTTCAGGGATTTTTAGATATTTTACTGGAAACTCAGACAAAATATACTTGGTAGGAACGGGCAACCGTAAATTGCTGGTCTTTAAGAACATGAGAGACTTACTCCAGGGCAATTGTTCCAGTAATATACTGATTGCATGGATAAAATCATCTTATTAATGCACTTAATCAATGATGATTTAATGATAAGCACATAAACATAAAGATGGAACAGTAAGCATATATGCAAAAAGTATAATCACATCAGCAAAAAAATAAAAAATAAAATTATAGCCTTCCAAAACGCACCTAGACATAAAAAGGACACAAGGTATCAATGACGATCTACAAGCTCAAGTTTGTGTAAACTCATAAGAAACGCTGCAGAAATCTCACATTGCACTAGCTGTGAGGATGCTTGTATAAATTAACAGATTATTTTGGTCTGGTATTCACACAAAGGTATAATATTATCATATATCACCGTTACAGCGCAATCTGGACCATGCCAGTTCCTGGTCATTACATACATGCTTAACATTTTTAGAATGGAATGAAATTGGAATGATTCCGAATTGGAATGACCTAAGGGTGAGGAAATGACAGATTTTATTATTTTTTTTTTTTTCATTTTTGGATGAAGTTGCTTGATAAATCTGAATTTCTATAGAAATACCACCACTGTGTCAGCATGCAAAAGCTATGATAGTGCTTTATGAAAGCTTTACTTTCTCAAACTTACCAGCAAATCCATCCTCCGTCCTGTCAGCCCAGGATTCTTCCACAAAAAAAAAAAAAAACACCTTCCCAGGAGTCTGTGATCAAAGCATCAGCTGATGAAGAAAAAAATTAACAGCTGAATTACTATCAAATATAGAGCTTTAATTTATTAGTTAGCAACGGCAAGAGGGGAAAGAAAATCATTTACACAATTATCACAGTAACATCACCTGTGCATTGAGTCTCAAACTGATGACAAAATAAAAACACAAACATTTCTAAAGACGCATCTTAAAAATACCAAAAAAATTGTACAACCATTTTCTCTCGCTGTAAGACGAACGCTGTAGGATTTGGGACCGTGTGGTGCTTTTCTAGGAACAGTAACAATACCATCAACTGTTGAGGAATCAGTTAGTCAACGTTTTAAGGTGAATAGTTGCCCTCTGTTTTGCCTGCCACGCAGAAAAAGACCATCAGCCTTCTGTCCAACACTGACCTGACCATAAAATATATGAACAGAAAGAACTGCAACGTAGCTATCTTTAATTTCGTAATTACAATACCACTACATAAATCATGCACACAATGAAAAGCCAGCTTCCCAAGACCTCGAGTAGTTTAAAACTGTGATAAAATGCTCTATACAGTGTGAACACATTTTGAAAATGAATGTAGGTTTTGTCATATATCAGGATGTGTCTTTTATAATATTGTAGCCTTCACCAGTTTATTTAAATTCATATTTAGGCCATAATTAGCTGAATCTCACAAAAGCATACCAGATCATATTTCACCCTCGAAATGAAAAGGAATATAATTATATATAATTGTTGCTTAAAAACAAGTCCCATGTCACCAGTTTTGGATTGTGACATTTCCCTTTTCAAATCTATTTATCATGATATCATAAAAAAAATTGCATTCTCACCATAATGGGAAAATTAGTATTAGAATATTAAAACATGGTGGGAAAATTTGTTTATATGAAAATAATGATTTAAAAGAATGGCTTAATTTACTTTTTTTAATGGGTGAAATATGACCTGGACGTGCTTTCACATTTGTGCATTTATGACATCATCATGGTGCGAGTTGGTTTGTGCTTTTAGTCTTTTCAAAAGTGGCATAAAAACAATAAAAGCTTACTAAGAACCCTTAGCAGCTGTTTTACATGAGTCAAAACAGTCACAAAAAAATGTGCCATGAAACTTGATTACCTTAAACATTTGTGCAATGAAACAGATGCATTTGTGCATACAGAGCGACATTAGGAAGACAATATGAGCTGGTGTAGCATTGTAACCAATGAGGGACCAGAATGCACTTAGGGGTGGGACTAGTGGTGAGGTGCATTATGATGTCAGCATCTCGTGCCCCGCCTTTTCCGAATGTCTTTCCGTGTGAAGAGTCTAAGGGGGAAGATTAATTCCCATTCGCTCTTTCCATACCCATCTCAAGTTCAACACAGTTCATAGTCTATGAGTTTACGTCAATATATACGAGTCGACAATGCCCGGAAGATGGAAATTGGAGATTTCTTTTGTTTTGTTTGTAGTTGTGACAATAAAAATAATATAACAATACTATTTGCCCGTTAGGTACTTATACACAAAGAGCATTCATTTTTCTATTTAAGTACAAAGAAATCTACAGAATGGTACTATATACAACCTACAATAAATACTGTGTATGATATCATCTTTATGTGTTAAAAGGGAATTCCGTTTGTTGCTTGAAAAGTTCGGTTTCATTTGATGGAAGTTTTTCTTTCTTTTTTTATTTTTACAGGTTTTCCTCTATTAGAAGTCTTTCCTATAAGGCCGGGGGGGCTGAAGCCCCCTCATGTCTCCTCCTCGTCCCCATGATGTCTGCGATTCCGCGGTTTCTTCTGTTCCTTCAGCTCTTTGAGGTCTTTGGCCTTGATGACCCCCATCAGCGGGTCTCCATATTGCCAATAGTCCTGGCAGTACTGGTTTATGAGGCCCATCTCAGGCTGACTGAGGATGGTCAGAAGGTCTTTGTATTGTCCGGCGCTGGGGGTCCAGGGGCTGGATTGGAGCGAAGACGTCACCGGACGGCCCGATTCCACTAGGATGCTGTTGACGGCCTGGTTGGTCAAGACCACCAGCTGAAGTTTCACCAAGGTGTGCTTGAAGTTCTTCTCTGTGGCTGTGCAGACGTAGATGCCAGAGTCGGAGGACTGAAGGGAATGTAGTAGCAAGCCTTGATCTGTCTTCAAGACGCGCCCGTCGGTACGGACCTGAAGAAACAAACACAAAAACAGCCATGAGTAATAAAGCAATGAACTTTGGAGGTGTCATTCAGACTGCTTATTGATCTATTACTGTTGCATATATAGAAATGATGGTTAGCCGATACCAATAAGCAATACTTATTTTTATGACATGGCTAATAACTACATGCATTTTCCATTTATTTTTTTCAAATAAAAAAATAAATATGTGACCCTGGACCACAAAACCAGTCTTAAGTCGCTGGGGTATATTTGTAGCAATAGCCAAAAATACATTGTACGGGTCGAAATTATTGACTTTTCTTGTTATGACATGGCTAATAACTACATGCATTTTCCATGTATTTTTTTCAAATAAAAAAATAAATATGTGACCCTGGACCACAAAACCAGTCTTAAGTCGCTGGGGTATATTTGTAGCAATAGCCAAAAATGCATTGTACGGGTCGAAATTATTGACTTTTCTTTTATGCCCAAAATCATTGGGATATTAAGTAAAGATCATGTTCCATGAAGATATTTTGTAAATTTCCTACTGTAAATATATTAAAACTTAGTTTTTAACTTCTGACTTCATTTGGACAACTTTAAAAGCGATTTTCTCAATATTTAGATTTTTTGCACCCATGTGACCCTGGACCACAAAACCAGTCTTAAATCGCTGGGGTATATTTGTAGCAATAGCCAAAAATACATTGTACGGGTCGAAATTATTGACTTTTCTTGTATGCCCAAAATCATTGGGATATTAAGTAAAGATCATGTTCCATGAAGATATTTTGTAAATTTCCTACTGTAAATATATTAAAACTTAATTTTTAACTTCTGACTTCATTTGGACAACTTTAAAGGCGATTTTCTCAATATTTAGATTTTTTGCACCCTCAGATTCCAGATTTTCAAATAGTTGCATCTCGGCCAAATGCTGTCCTATCCTAACAAACCATACATCAATGGAAAGCTTATTTATTCAGCTTTCAGATGAAGTCTGAATGGTCCAGGGTCATATATATATATATATAATATTTTATGTAATTACACTATATTAAATTACACACAAATTTGTAAATTATATAAATTATAAATTGAATTATAGAATTATAAATATTAAATGACTAAATTTCATTTTTACTATATACTATAATTACACTATATATAAATAGTAACAAAATTATTTAATGATTATATATGTACAATTATATTTATTTAAAATTATAAAATGGTATTTAAATTATAATTAAATTATTACATTTATACTATATATTATGTATATATGTGCAGAGCGAGAGAGTATAATTACATGTAAATTATAATTGTATATGTACAATATATTATTTTACATTTTTTATATATTTTTAGCAAGGTTCTATGTAATTATATTATACTATAAATGTAATACTTTGGTAATTATACCATACATAAAATATACAAATATTTGAAAATAAATATACATTTTAACAGTTCATTTTTTAAATTAAAATTAAATCCACTTTTTCACATGATCTTTTTCATACCATCATCTTTCATATTATTGGCATCCAGTATGTCTAAAAAGGAAGACACTGAATCAATATCATTTGCTTTGCATATATTTGTAATTGTGTGTCCTCACCTCTCTCCTCCTGTCGCTGTTGTCTCGGTGGAGGTGCCATTTGATAGCGGCATGGGGCGATCTGGCCTGGCACTCCAAAAACGTGCTGCTGCCCTCCACCCCGTACTGCACCGTCTCTAGAGTGTTCTTATTGGCTGGACAACAACAACAACATGTCATTTCTCATTGACATCAGCACAGCATTGGAGCGAGAACAAGAGCTGACCATGAACTATTAGAGCAGAGCCAGTAGAATGTGAGAGTCGTGTCAGTCGAACTACAGTAATGTAAATAAACACAACACTACAACAGTTCAGATCAGAGCAGAATGAGGTTTTCTGTTAACAGCTCATTATGGTTGTATAAAGAAAGCACAACTGTATTTTACATATACGCTTAATTTATATAAACTAATTTCACAAAATAAATGAAAATGAATAAAACTGAGTTCATGAACTGATGATGCTGATAAATGTGTCATGCCACGAAAACAACTATTAGCTGTGATTTGAATGATTTATCAATGAATTAGTTGTGCATACAAAATATGCATTAGACAGACACATTTATATTTGAATAAAAAAACAGGCAGAACTAAATCTATTTACTGATAATAAATTTATATATTTCCAAATATTAATTGTAGTAAAGTCAGACTAGTGACTTACTGTTGGAATTGTATCCTCTGCACTGCCGAATGGGATTCCCGTATTTCACATCCTGTCGCCGACTGCGTCTGAAAGCAAGCCAATATGACAAAATAAAAAATGTATTGACTAACTGACTACACATATATGTCTTAAGGAACATTTTAGTAGACAGCTCATCTGATTAGATTATTCAAACTCTCCGTTTCAACACACTAAAAATATGACGCTGGCAGGATGAACAAGCGTAAAGTTCAGTGGAGAAAGAAAAGATCAATCAGTCTCTCTGGGATTTCATCTTTCTGCAATTTTAGGGAAAGTCCCATCCTGTTTCACAAGAAGAATACTCACCCTTCACTAAATAAGATCCATACGGACACCTGTTTGTCTCAAACACTTTGGGATAAATGAGCAGACGCTTTTAAATGAAAACTGTAGCTCCCCCTGAAATTGCCCAATATGACTAATGCATCTGACTGCATGAAAGCAAAACATCTTCAGTTGCAACATCTAATGAACAACATTTCCAGAAATTAGGAGGCTGTGACTGTAAATGAGGATCGAATCCTCATGAACGCACATGACTGGAATATGATCTTTGATGCGTAAGAGTTTTGGAATTATTTTGGTTAAGTGAGGTTTCGGATCTTATTAATGTGTATTTCATTATTTCCTATCAATGTTCATAAAAAGAGCCAAAGAAAGAAATGGGCCAGATTATTGAGAAATTACGGAGAACAGAGATGCAGATTCAAATCAGTGTCTAATGGAATAACTACTAGGCTATTGTTCTGACATGGGATTTTAAAACCAAATGTTTTCACTATGTTACTGTACATACCTGAATGTGGTGTATGTAAAGATGCTGACTGACACTGTGTGTAAATGTCATTCGGTTTGAAGCGCTTTGGCATATTTACCTCTTCTGTGAGGCCGAGTACCGAGAGCAGGACTTGCCGTCCCAGGCACAATAAGGGTCCCGGGCCAAACAGCAGTCTGCACAGGCCTCGCCATAGACATCACACCTGTGCAGGGCCAAATGAGTCACCCCAACCGGAGACGCCACATATAGTTGTTGCTGCAACAAAATGAGTGAGTCTTTTTTTCTGCCTTTAGATATATAATTTGATCCTAAAACATCAAGGTACATCATTTTCTATTTTCAAATCTCTTCGGAAAGAAGAAAACCACACATGACTGTGCAGGCCTGTGTAGGTTTTGAACTGCAAATTGAGGCCTGTTATGATAATGGAGCTTTTTTCCTCCAGCATTTAGACACTTGACATTTCTGTTTTTAGGATCAGCTGTTTTAAATCAGCTTTTCTGGGAGGACTAGGGTTTAAATTACAGCCTAGTAATGATGTCATGCCACATCTGCCAACAATCCCAATCATGATGAAAGAATAAAACATTTTATCTCCATGCATCTGTAAAATTGTTATCCCCATATGAAAGAGGCTTATAGATTACAGACGGATAGCAGCTGCACGTCTAGCTTAAGTGGGTCTATTGCTGTCCTCTTCATGGGTTTGGGTATTCCTCCAGTATTTTACAGAAAACATCAATGTTTGTGAACCATATTTTCATGTTTAGTGTACAGCAAATTCTTACCCGTTTTGAAGAAATCTTCATAGTTGTGATAGGAGTAGGGACCTGAGAGTGAAAGATATAAATCTGTATTGTGCATGACTTAATTAAACAGTTTGGTGTCAGTAAGATTTGTTTTGAAATAAATTATTACTTTAATTTAGCAAAGATACATTGCATTTATTTAAAGTAACAGTAAAGACATTTACAAATATTCTTTTGAACTTTCTATTTTCTATTAATGAAAATGACATTTTCCACAAAAATATTAAACAGCACAACTGTTTTCAACATTGATAATAATAATAAAAAATGTGTCTTGAGCAGCAAATCAGCATATTAGAATGATTTCTGAAGGATCATGTGACACTGAAGACTGAAATAACGATGGTGAAAATTCAGCTTTACCATCACAAGAATAAATTACATTTTAAAATGTATTAAAATAGAAAACGGCTATTGTAAATTGTAATAATATTTAACAATATTGCGGTTTTTACTGTATTTTTTTATCAAATAAATGCAGCCTTGCTGAGCTGAAGTGATCAATCAGGATCAAGTATTCCAAAGAGCGGTGTAATATTAATAGGTTAGTGTACAACAGGAGATCCAGGGCGCAGATCTCACCTTAAAGACCTCCACTTCCTCTAGCACCAGTTCCTCTGTCTGCAGATCATCTCTGGGCAGGACAATCACCTTCTGCACTGTACCTCTGTCTGTAGGGCAAAAGAAAGACAGTCAGATTAAACTGCCTCTTTCTAAGTGCACTTCCATTTTACAAGTCCCAAAACATTAAAAGCACCATGATATTCCTCTGACAACTTTGTATCTATTCCATTTTCCAAGCTTTTTGTCTTTGCATCTTATGCCCTGATAAAATCATGATTATTATCTTTCACTGAGTACAGAAACACTAGAGGTACTCTTTCTTTCCGTCCCATCTACCGTGTAGACCCTTCACATTTTCCACACACCATCCCTTGCTTTAAAAATCCCTCCTTTGTTTTTTTTTTACTGCTTTTCACGGCGTACTCATCTTTCAGCTCGGCTGTACCCTGTCAGGCTCTGTCTTTACTGCAAAGCTGAGGTATTTCAGTGGCTGTGTCCTAGCAAAATGCTTGTTTGATTTAAGCGTGCCATTGCATTCCTCCGTGCACGTCCGGCCTCTAAATAACGTTGCCCTCGTTATGTAGATTGGACTCGAAAGAATGCAGGCGAGCGACGGCAGCTGAAAGCCAGGGACGTTCCTGTGAGTGCTTGTAGGTGCAATGGGCCGCGCAGAGTTGATTTAAAAGCCCATTAGACTCTCAGACTCTCAAAGCAAGAAAAGCAGATATATAGAGATAAACTACAGCACGGCGAGACCAAAGAATGATGTCATTCTGACTCTTTAAGGTTAAAAGAAAGTTTGAAAAGGAGATGAGAGTTAGGCAGATCAGCTGTTGTAGGTTGATGGATTCTTATAAAGTGACCCTGCAGCTTTAAGGTGCTGCATTCACAGATTTTATATCAAGAACAGAAAGATGGAAACACAAAACCCTCTTTTGTGTGTGTGTTTAAAATCCATCTAAGTAGAGTCAGACGCTTTCACCTCCTCTGATAAATGTACAGTACACTGAGAAGGAATGAAACTGACTTTTTTATTTCCCTTTATCCTGCAGCAGTTTCAGTGTCTTGACAAAGGTTTAAAGAAAAGGTAAGATGACAGTTACCGTACCTAAAAAAAAAAAAAAAAAAAACTTAATGCATACAGTGCTATACCAGTGTTACATTCATAATGAAAAATAACAAAAAATGTTTTTCGGTCCCACTGTATATTAGGTGGCCTTAACTACTATGTCAATACATAATAATATAAGTGCAATGTACTTATTGTTCATATTGTATTGCAAAACACTTTTGCTGCTATTGAGGTGGGATACGGGTAAGGTTAGTGACAGGTTTGGTGGTACGGGTAGGTTTAAGGGTGGGTTAAGGTGCAATGGATGGTTCAACATTGAAACTATAAATATAAATATAATTACAGAAATTAATTACAGATGCATGCAGGTATTTTTTAAATACAGGTACAATGTAAAAACATGTATGTAAACACAATAATTGCATTGTATCAAATGATTAATTTAAATGTAAGTACATAGTAGTTAAGGCCACCTAATGTAAAGTGGGGCCTGTTTTTCATTTTAGTACAAAAAAAGGCATTAGATAGCAGCAACACTTTATTGTATGGAGAAATTGAATGCTGTTAAACATTTTTAAATTATACTAGTTATCGCCTTAACTCTGGTAGCCCTAAAATTACTAAAGCTAAAATTAAAACTAACAATAAATATAACCATATATTTTTAACTAAACTGAAATAACAAACTGAATATAATGTAATTTTAAAAAATCTGCATTTTTTTTTTATTGCATATAACATGATAAGTTGATATGAAAAAAAACTTAAATATGTAAAAATCAGGCTATTTTCCAAACTAACCTGTACCCAGGAAGAGCACTTCATAGTTGCCATCGGCTGCAGTCACCTGGTCCACAGTGATAGTGGTGAACTCATAGTCCACGTTGGTCCTGACCACCAGGGGGCGCTTGTGCACCGGATACACAGTGTTGTACATGGTGGGATGGTTCCGCATAAAGTTGATGACCTCGTCAGGGTAGTCTTTCGTTGACTTCATGTTAGGGGTGAATGTCCCACCAGGACACTAGCAAAAATGGGTAAAGGGGACCAACCTTAGCCAATGAGATCTCTGTATTCTCCTAATATAAAGCCTAACTTCCAAATGGGTAGATCTAAAGGCTAAACCCCACTTATAATTTGTACTTTCAGCTTGGTTTGAAGCTTGGTAAAGTTCAAGCTGGTTTTTTTAACCTTCAACAGTGGGTTTAGATTAATATTTCTATATCAGTATGCCAATAATTTGTCTTATTATTGGTAGTCTGGTTCATTAGAGGGTGAAACTCACTGTTCCTGGACGAGGGTAGGGGATTTTTCCACTGTAGGCCACCCACTGATAATTGGGACCTTCTTTGTGGGCAAAAGGTCCATTGAACACCATCCGAATGTCCGCCATGGAGTAGACGCAGACCGCTGAGCCTTTAAATACAGAGCTGGGGGGAAAATATGACAGTTTTTGTTATAAAGCTCATATATAGAACTATTAATACATAAATTGTTTAAAAGTGTATATGGAAAAAAGCAGATGCAAATGCAGTAGACAACTGCCCAAGCTAAACAAGCCCTTCCAGTGTTTACTACAGCTTCCAGATGGAGGAAGACCTTGTCTAGTATATTCAAACTCACCCAGACACAGAGAAGACCCCATAGATGACAGGATTTTTAGTGTCCTGCGTGGGCTGTATGTACACATCCCCTAAAAGACACAAACACAGAGGAGCATTGCAGTGACAAAGCTGGAGAACACTTTGCTAATATTTGCAGTGCATAAATCAAGCGCATTTAATGAATCGTGGGACCAACTTTCTGTGACTCAGAGTTTCTCACTGCATTTCACTCACCATCTCTGAAGTAATGAGAATTTATAGTCAATTTTTCCTTTTTTTAAATTATTTTTTAACAATAGCAACACAAACGCAATCTACAAAACACACATTGCTTTTAACATTTTAAAAATAGAGATAGCAGTTGGGTAAATAAGATAGTAAACTGGACAGTAAATAATGTGAAAGAGACTTGAAAGAGATTGCATGTCATCACTATTATGAAACTTGCTGAGCTGGCTTGCATAAACACTTATGTGTGCATATGAGTGTTTGTGTGTGTAAGGGAATAAGTGAGTGTGTTTAAGGACCGTTGAAGTGCTCCTCAGGGAGAACTCACAGGATAATAAGGATGAGGATAGCAAAGCATATGGTTCCTATTGTACACACACATCCTGCCAACCATTATATCTGAGTATAGCTGTATGTATAGTGCAGGTGAAGCATCACGTGTATATGGATCAAAGACATGGGCTTATAAGACAACTGAAAATTCATTCATAACTCATTCACAGTGCTAGAAACTCATGATCTTATGAATGAAAAATGCAGAAGGCAGTTGTGCAATAGTTAATGCACATGTTCCAGATACACTGAGGAGTTCATGTCAGAGATGCAGGTTCAAATTCAGTCTGCAATATGTCCCATCCCCTTATTTTTCTTATGCTTTCAACTAATAACACTTTAAGGACTCTCTTTTGCCTGTGCCAATGCATTTGGCAACCTGAGGCAAATTTCCTCTCCTTTTCTCCTTCACAACAGGAGAACTGCAGTTAATGGTGTATATCTAAGGATCTTCAACATGGATGAACACATACTTTTAAAATGACACATCATTACAGCCTTTTTTTTAACAAACATTTGTCGATTTGGAACGAATTTGCCAAATTCTTAACATCTTCCAACTGTTCGAACTCCCGTAAATGCAAAGCCAGAGACAGTCACATAGCAGATGTATAGAATCTATGTTAAAATCTACACAATTATTTTCAATAATACTGAACAGAAAAGGCAGAAAATGTCATTAAAAACTTAAAACAACATTTATTAACTAATGTGACCTACTTCAAAGTGCAACAATCTACAACAGAAAATAATATAGGATGGTATTTGATTTGTTATGCATAAAGAATTCATTAGATTTCTAAAACTTACGCTATGATATTAATGGTCAAAATAATTTTCCCCACCCATGTGACCTTATAGAGAAAATCAATTATGATGGAGAATTATGACAATAAATTATGTACTCATGAATGAATGACATTTATTCAGAAAGTAAACTACTATTTTAATTTTTTTAATCAGCAAGGATGCATTAAATTTATCAAAAGTGATAGTAAATATATTTATAATTTTACACATACTGTATGTACATATATAAGAAGCACAACTGTTGAGCATCAAATCAGCATATTAGAATAATTTCTGAAGGATCATGTGACACTGAAGCCTGGAATAATGATGCTGAAAATTCAGCTTTGCATCTCAGGAATACATTACATTTTAAAATATATTAAAATAGAAAACAGTTCCTTTAAATTGCAATAATATTTCACAAAAATTACTGTTTTTACTGTATCAGTCTATCAAATAAAAGACTTCTTATTGACCCCAAACTTTGAAATTGTGGAGTATATATGAGATCTAATTTCCAAAGAATATAAATGTGTAATTATGATCATTCTGACTACTACTATGACACCGTGTCCTTAAACTCCATCTGTATTATAATAAAAGCTTAATCCTGTTCTTTACTAGACCGCCACAACTCACAATGAACTACAGCTTTATTGCCTTATTAAAAATGCTTGGATATCCCTCCTTTAACACACACACCTATATCCTCACCTCGCCATAAGCCTGTGTAAACATCCTCCCCACTAATAAAGAGCCAAACAAGTTTATAAGTGTTGAGCGACTGTGCTCGGGAGCCCAAAACTGCTCTTTTAATATGAGCAACAGCAATAAATTCCAGCATGATCATAGTCCACTGTTTCCCTGCATCACTGGGGCCAATTAGTCTGGAAATGACTGTAAGTGCGAGAGAGACCCTTAGTGGACCCGGCATTCCTGTCGGTCCACCTGATCCGTCCACAGGGCATGGCCTTCTCTCTGGACGTCATCCGAACTCCCTACAAGTCTCTCCACAGCTCATGGCACATCTCCCACACCTTCAGCCTTCTCAAAAGAGCCTTTTGTTCAGAAAAAGAGGGTGGATTTCTGTAACACGGCTTCGAATAAGCTATTATCCATCTCAGCATATGGACGTGGGGGTGGGGGGGTTGGGGGGGGATCTTGTGCCATATGGCAGGGAGGGCGAGGTACGTCACCTGGCCCGGTGTAAATGCAGACCTGGAGGCCCCCGTTAGGGGATCCAGGATGTTGTGGGTGGATGGAGGGTTTGCATGTGGTTTTGTAGTAGGGTGTGGGCGACATTGGACAGGGCCACTGAAACCTGACTAACCAGGAGAGGATCTTTCTCGTTCACACACAGCTAAAGTGATCCTTGACTGGCCTCCGGCCAAAGCAAACCACTTTAAGAGCCGAGATGGGGCCTTTCAACTGACGACTTTATCTGTTGGAGATGAACAGAGTGAGACAGAAATGGAGACTTACTGAGCTCGTCGAAATGCGTTTCAATTCCATCAGCTCCTGGGACCGAGCAGATGAGACGGGCTTTCAGGAAGGTGCTCCACTTGTTGACCAAGCAGCAGTGACCGCCGTCATCGTTCTGTAAACACACACACGTTGAGAGCCATCGGTTTAAGTCTAAATCAAAGAGAGGTGGAATAGCTGCATTTAATTCATGGCAAGCCCCTCCGCAGCGGGAGAGGAACAAACAGTCAGGAAAAGTTAGCTGTGAGAAGACAAGATTGCAAATAGTGTCTCGTCTGATACACAAAACACACCCATCTGGTCTGATGGCCGGCCAAATTTCAGGGAGAGGTGGTTGAGGAATCCTGATTTATCATCTGACTTCAATCACAACATACTCGTTTGGAGGTATGAAGGGAAGTTTCACCCCAAAATAAAAAACCTGTAATTACTTATTCCTCATGTTGGTGTTCCAAACCGGGTTCACTTACTTACTTCCGTGGAACACATATATTTTCCCATACAACTGTAATACAGTAAATGGGGACTGGAGCTTTTAAACTTCAAAAAGGACATAAAAACACCACAAAAGCATCAAAGAAGTCTGTAAAATAGATGTTAACTACTATGACCTGGATCACTGTGTCAGGGGCCAGATTCACAAAATCTTAAGAAAGACGTTAAGACATTTCTTAAGATACATTCTAAGAAATTTGTATAAGACTTTTTCTAATAAGTACAACTCTTGGAAAAAAACTCCTTAAAAAGAAAGTGACAAACTTTCAGATTGTATGGCTAGTAAGTCAATATGACTAGTAAGTCAAATCTCAAATAACTGCCCTGATGACTTGTGTTCTACCCGCTTAAATGATAGAAGTACTTGTGCTCACTGTGTCTGTTCCCGAATAGTGAGGTCAAAATATAAATTGAATGCAGGATCTAGAAAAAATCTGATCGTAATTAAACCAGACAAATGTAAAATAAATGAACAAAAGATATTTTTAAAGTTTGGGCTCCTAAACATTAGATCACTCTCACCCAAAGCAGTTATTGTAAATTAAATGATCACAGATAATCGTTTTGATGTACTCTGCTTGACTGAAACCTGGCTAAAACCTAATGATTATATTGTTACATCTTAAATTGATTTTTCCGTACATTTCTGCCATATGTACATTAACTGACAGTCACCACTGATAAGCTACCACTAAATATTGTAGAAACTTAATTTGCTGTAAAGTTGCTTTGCGATGATTTGTATGGTGAAAAGCGCTGTACAAATAAACTTGACTTGACTATTTAGCACCCAAACTCTGGAATAACCTACCTAACATTGTTCGGGAGGCAGACACACTCTAGCAGTTTAAATCTTTAAATCTAGCTGCATTAATTAGGTCAACCGGAACCGGGAACCGTACATTTAGTTCTGGAACTAAAGCGGTGCGAAAGGGCCTACTGATGGAGTTTTGGTTCCTTGGCGCTGTCGCCTCTGGCTTGCTTAGTTGGGGACACTTCATTTCCAGCGATATCGTTGACTTGATTGCAAATTATTGCAAAGATACTATTTAAACTGAACTGAGCTGGATGATGACATCACTGAATTGAATGATGAACTGTCTTTAACTGAAAAATTAGTGTTTACTATTGTCACTTTGCATTATTGACACACTATTTTCCAAATTAATGCTGTTCAGTTGCTTTGACACAATCTGTATTGTTAAAAGCGCTATATAAATAAAGGTGACTTGACTTGACTTATGGTCTGGGAAAAAAAAAGAAAAGAAAAAAATATTTTAAAATAACTTTGTTTTCTAGCACATTACATAATATCCATAATAAGAATGCAAACTGTTTTTGTTGCAATAGGTTTGATGGGAATTAATAACTTCATTAGACATCTTATTTTTGTGAATTTACCTGTAAAGGGATACAGTAGTTCACCCAAAAATGAAAATGCTTTTATCATTTACTCACCCTTAAAGTTGTTTTAACCCTGTATAAGCTTATTTCTTCTGTTGAACAAAAAAGAAGAAAAGAAGAAAAAAAAGGAAAGAAAAAAAAAAGATGAAGGTCCCCATTGACTTCCATAGTATTTTTTCCATACTATGGAAGTCAATGGGAACCATCAACTTTTTGGTTACCTATATTCTTTAAAATGTCTTCTTATGTGTTCAACAGAAAAAAGAAACTCATACAGGTTTGGAATAACCTGAGGGTGAGTAAATGATGGCAGAATTTTCATTTTTGGGTAAACTATCCCTTTAAGACAAGTTGGAGGTTAACATAACTTTTGGGGGTTTTTACAATTATTTTTAAGAACAACTTTTTTTCAGGCATTCATATTCTTAAGGTTTATCTTTAAGAAATGTTTTTGGGAATAGAACATTTTCTTAATTTCATTCTTAAATTACAAAATAATAAGAAAAAAGCAGTCAGGAAGAATTTTATTCTTACGAATGTTTTGTGAATCAGTCCTATTTGTGAACGAATCATTCAGACTGGTTTTGTGGGATCAACTAATTCACAAAAAAGATCAAAAGAACAATTAAATCATAAATTGGATTCGCTACTTCTCTCAAGACCATGCAAAGTAGAGCTAGGACTAATATTTTCATTTTCATCGACAGCTTACATTTTGTATGACTTCAGCAGACTTGGAACATAATGGAAGAATAAAGGAAAATCCACAATTCATTTAATGCTTTACACCATTTTGGAGCTTGACATTCCCAGTCCTCACTGACATTAATTCAAAATCACCCTTTGTGCTCCCCAGAAGAAAGCAAGTAATACTTTTTGCGGAATGACATGAGTAAATGAAGAAATTTCCATTTTTGGGTGAACTACCTCTTTAACGGATGCAGCTAAATGAGTCCTCTCTCATCTTTTTAAGTGGGAGAACTTGCACAATTGGTGGCTGACTAAATACTTTTTTGCCCCACTGTATATACGACAAACTGTATACATGATATGAATGATCATACCCCAGGCTCTCTCTGCGTGTTTCATCTTTGATCGCATGACACATTGTTATTAATAGAAGCTAAAGATCTTTGTGAGAGAGGGTGGATGGTGACCAGATGGGTTCAGATGCGAGATGCAGAATGGCTGGTTCTCCGGAGGGTGATCCATAAAGTCCTGAGCACAGGGGTGTGTTTGCGTGATAGGTCACCACATGACCCTGACTCATAAACAAAGACCTGGGGGGGCTGCATGACAGAGACCACGCACTCATATAAACACACCCGTAAACACAAAACAGAAAGCGGATAAACACAAAAACCCAGCCACCCACACAAACACACATGCAATGTCATATACCACCATGTGGTTCCACATATGAAACAGCTCAATAAACACATGCATGTTACAAAAAATATACAAGCACAAACCCATTCATGAAGACACACAAAACGTTTGCACTGTATACATTCTAACATTCAAAATACTTTTTTATTCTGTAAGAATGCACTGAATCCATCAAAAGTGACAGTAAAAAATTATGTTAAGAAAAATGTGTATTTCAAATAATTTGTTTTGACTTTCTATTCATCAAAGAAACCCTGAAAAATGTATCATGGCTTTCACAAAAATATTAAGCATCACAATATTCAATATTGATAATGGCTGCTGAAAATTCAACTTTGCCATCACATGAATAAATTACATTTGAATATTTAAATAGAAACCAATTACTTTACATTGCAATACTATTGGACAATATTACTTTTTTTTACTGTATTTTTCTGAAAAAATATTATTGACTCCAAACTTTTTAATGGCGGTTCCTGCCATCGACTATGGTAGTTTTATTAAGCTATTTACAATTACCTTAATCCTAGCCAAGATATTTAGTTAAAATGACTATTATAAGGCTTCAAATGATTTATTATGTAGCTCATTTACAGTCATATGGACTAATTATGATGCTTTTTTTGCCCATTTTGAAACTTGCCATTGTAAAACAAATTTGAAAACATCTTTAAAACATAAACTAGCCATTATCCAAACTCTATACATGCTGCATTTTAGCTTAAAATTAAGTTATTTGATCCATTTATGTGGGTTTTGAATGGTTTAACGACGTTTGTAAGGAAATTTTCAGAATTTATCCCTCCAAGTACAGCTAAACACAAACACACCCACAAGCATTACATTAGGCCCAAGAAGATGCACCACAAACCCCTGAGTTTACCCCTGTGGCTCAAGCCTGCCGTTCCATGTTTGTTTTCATTGCCCTGCTCAATTTGCAGTTGAGGTCTGGCGCTATTTTCATTAAGAACTTGTGGTTAAGCTCCGCGCTCGGGACAAATCGCCGTGGTGCTAGTGAATAAGCCATCTTTTCCATTGCATGCTCTGGTGAAGAAACTCTGTCATACGCAGGACGGCTGACCTGACAGGTCAAAAGGTCACAGGTTCAGGGGTCACATGGATAGAGAGACGTATTGTAAGCAGGGAGGTCAAATATGTGTGGATTTCGGCACGTCAGCGGCAAGCAAACAGTAATGGCAGTCAAGTATCCACAAACCAAGGCTCGCTCGCTCTCGGCTGTAGCCGGAATCTCTTTCAGAAGTGCTGAATGGTACAGAATGTCTCAAACTTTGGCTCATATTTATCACATCATATTTTAGGTCAGAGATTTTAGCTCACCAGGCAGATTCGGCTGATGCGTGACTGTGATTTGGGGCTCTGGCCCATCTCAGAAGACTTCTCACGGAAGAAAAAGTAGAGTTTGTCATCGTTTTTTTCGTTGCTGTCAGGGATGAGGTGCACACGGACAAATGAGGGGTCTAAGAAAAAAAGAGAAAGAGGGAGAGAAAACGCAAATGTAATTTTTCATTTTGTCCAATAAAAAATCTATCAGTCTGAGAAATTACCTGAAATAATTAGGACTATTTAAGTGATCTGCATAAAGGTGAAAATGGAAAATTAAAAATGGAGGAAAAAAAAAACCTTCCCATATGCACAGAACTGAATTGAGATAAATTGCCCATCTTTTTGATCATTAGATGAATGGAAAAGTGTCACCTAAATTACCTGAACTCTAGTTTACAATATATAAAATAATATAAATATATAAACACCCAAATCCATAAACTAAAACCTAAACTAAACAAAAAATTAAATTAAATTAATTAAAATTAAAATTAAAATCAATTAAAAAAATTAATACATAAAAAAATAAATTAAATAAAAATTAAATTAAAACTAAAATTGTATTAAATTAAACCTAAAAATAAAATAAAATAAAATTAAATTAAAACTAAAATGAAATGAAATTAAATAAAAAATTAAATTAAATTAAATGAATTCATATCCACTTATTTACCATTTAGCCATCTTGAGTTGTATTGGTCAGTGCGCATGACTGCATTTTTCCCCAAAGTTCGGAAAATAGCAGAGTCTGTTCCCATGAAATCAATATACACCCCTGCATACAGTTCTCCATCTAAGAGTAACAAAAACAGAAAGATACAAAGAGAAAGTCAGAATGTAAGTATCTGTGAATGTGAAAGAAATAAACATTTGATTTATAAGCAAATTTATAAGCATTTTTCATAATGAAACATCAGCCACACGATGATGGATTATTGCCAGGTGATCCATCAAGGCACAGAAAAACAACATTTAACTGATCAAATAAATGCTCAACTTACAGTGAAATTACAGAGACGATCAGTATATATATATTTTAAAATTTGATTAATAATTCTTTGATTAAAAATTCTTCTTCTTATTATTTTCAACAATAATACGTTAATTATGTATATGTTAATAATTTGACACTAACACTGCACAACGATATAAAGCTTGGCTTGGTGGCAACTGCCAACTTATATTACACACTGCACAAGATTGATGCCCACAGGGTCTCATATGCGCTGGTCATTATGCATGTGCATGTGAGGAGTTATTATTGCCTCTGGAGGAATTTGTTCCTTGTTAAGTAGTGTGGAGGTCAAGTGTGTGTGTGTGTGTGTGTGTGTGTGTGTGCAGAACCCAGTTGCAGGCCATTTGAGCAGGTGTCTCAGCGTGTAGTTGGCATAGGCCATGGCAGTTAAGGAGGGGCCGCAGAACCACGGCCAGGCGGAGTGCTGTCATGAGCAGCTCTCATGATTAATTCCCTCTCGGAGGAATCCAGAACACAGGGCCTGCCCGTTTTTGCCCACACTTGCTTCTGTGTACAGCGGGCGATACGAGTTCAATCGGAGGGGTTTGTAGAGGAAACATGTTGGATGTAGAATGAGTTTGTTGACAGTCTATTTGCTCTGCCCGGTGGTGGTTTTTCAGATGGCATATCAAAACTGTTGATTCTTAGGGGAAGTCTAGGTGCCAACCTGTCAGAACGCCTTGTAAATTCAACCAAACAACTCTAATATATGAGGTGGTAGTTAAATACAACCAGACAGGCAAGCACTAAAGTGGTCTTTCGATGAATAACATGCCAAATTGTTTGCAAAAGCTTCCTTGTCATGTTTGTTTGTGGCTTTTAATGTCGCACTTCGTGTAAGACTGTGATAAATTGTTTTACTGGTTTAGCTAAGTGGTTTTGCTAGTTGTGGGCTTTGCTAAGCTGTGCTGATTAGATGGTTTAGCCGGTTGTTTTCCTAGTCAAGGGTTTTGCTGAATTACCTGCTGTGTAAGCCCTGCTAAATTGGGGCTTTGTGTTGTTCTTTGGACTCGGCTGATGACGTGCTAATTTGTGGATTGTTTAGTCAGGAAGAAGCTACAACAGATTTACAACAAATTATCACAAAATACAGTAGATTTATAAATCCTAACAAACCTATGGTTTTAAAATGGTCTAGAGGTAACATTCTTTGACACACAAATACACCGATGCAAATGTTTTGCTAACGTGTTATTTTTCAGGTTGCTAGCTAAACACGTTTTAAAGAATAAGACTGTTTGCACTTATGCACTTCTGCAGATCTAAGAACGCAACACATACTTGCAATGATGAGCACAATCAAGCTTATGTAGCCAGCAAAACCTACATTCATAAACCTCCTATCTAGGGCTGCATAATTTTTTGTGGAAAAATAATGAATTGGGAAAAAAATAATGACCAATAATAATGATAATTCTTATTATTATTAAATGTTAACAAAATAGTAAATATTGCTATTTTAATACTGTAAAATATTTCATAAAAATTTAACTAAGAATTTCATTTTACAGTACAGCTGTAAAACTAAAATATTAATATTTATGGCTGTCTGAATTTTTTTCATTTTCAAGTGTTAAACCATCAAGCTTTTATTTTGGCAGAGTTGACCGTTTATCTGTTAAAATGGAACATAGTTAACCTCTCTAAATGTAAAAAGATTATTTTGCCTCAAACACTATTCTGAAACGAGCCGTTACCAAAGATTTATAAACCGTTGGGTTTGTTAGTGCATGACGACTCGCAGTGAGAAGCATCACTAGAAGGCTTGTTAGAAAACTCGCTGGTTGTGCACTTGGTTGATTCGCATGTTTCAATATAAAAGGCTTTTACTGCTGTCTGAGTTCTCCATTATGAGTTACTCAGAAATCATGGTTTGGACTTTTCCAATACACACAACCAATAATGCAGTTATTTCTCTTTTTTGAATGGAATCGCTGAAAGGACTTACTAATCAATGCAGAGACGCTGTTCAGTTTTGGATCATATGGGCACTTTCCCTTCCCAGAATCCTCCTTGCCGGGCTCCAGATGGAAGATGTATTCCTGAAAGGGAAATTGAAAGCAAAGATTAGCCCTCTCTGTCTTACAGTCAATAATTCTGTAGAAATGCTTTTGCATATGTCCTCAAATCCCTATAAAACATGACACAGATTTAGTTAACAAGGTTAGGCGTGTGACGGCAAAGACTATGATGCACAGGTGGAAAGAGAAAAGCAATAGCACAAAATTAAATAATCTCAAAGACAGATCTCTGAATACAATGTGCAGATAGAAAGTTTCACCATTCAAACTTTTCTGCTCGTCCGTAGCCTGCTAACACCTGTCTAATCCTGCATCGTGAGCGTGGCGGAATGGCTTACTGACACCGGCCCATCCCAGAATCCCTCAGGCATGATGTAGAAACACTGACTGACAGGTATTTGGATGTGAGATTTAGGAACTGCCACGAGCGTGTGCTGACATGCCCTGAAAACTCGCCATGAGCCAGATCCATAGCTTTCTAACCTCAAATTTTCCTTTACAGTCACAGGAGGAGATGGAGGAGCGCAGGACATTTCTAATCTTATCTATCAACATTCATTTAGAGGAGAGCAGAACGGCTGTCAAAATATTCAGAGTTGTCCAGCATTAACAGATTACCTTTCACCAGTTATTAAAATCAACACTGACACTGGCACTTCCTGCAGGGTTGCCTTAAATTAGAAACGTAAAATTTGCAACAGACACCGTATATTCTTCTGTTTGACACAGTTGATATGGGGCACTGGATGGAAATTATAACGTGCTACAAAAACTTCTCATTTTGTGAGAATTATCTTCTTTTTTTTTTTTTAAGTTTAAGTTTTCAAGTTTGGGCTTGCCATCAATTCATGCCAAATTTTGTTGTACTTGTTTCTCAGATGATTTTTCTTCCCCCCACTATGTTGTTGTATTCATACATATAAAAATGAATGCATTAAATAAATCTAAATGAATAAATATTAATTTGTATTAATCATTTTCATTAATAAGGGAATTGATTAGATTTGTTTCCTTTTTTACAACTCACATTTTTATTTATTAATTTTTATTTAATAAATTGATTTTCTAAAATAAAAATACATTTATTTATTTTTTGGTTATTTACTTTTCTAATAACCAAGTGGACGCTAACCAGTCAGGTTTCAGGAGTGGCCATTCAACTGAGACTGCACTACTATCAGTCACTGAAGCCTTGCAGATTTTGAAAGCTTCAGTTCTTATCCTGCTGGATCTATCTGCCGCTTTTGACGCTGTGAATCATCAGATCCTCCTGTCCACCCTCTCATCACTGGG